ACACTGAAAGCGCCTTAAAATAATCCACATGTGAGTCCATGCGTGCTACACGTTCACCCGACCATATCATCATCCTTGATTCGATAATCATAATAATGCTTGATAAAGGTAAAAGGTAAAATTGTACCTGTGCTTAACTAATCAAGCAGTACGCTATGAAGGCGTAGGGGAGTGGATGTATAGATCCATATTTTCTTGATTTCGGCACTAGTCGGAGGTGAGTGGTCAGCTTCACGCCCCGGCCGATTTATCCCCAGGGAAAGAGCCCACGGTACGAATTGGATAAGAGGTTGGGTGGAACCCAGAGACGGTCTGGACGACGTGGAGAATAGAAAATTCTTGCCCTTACCGGTACTTGAACTCCGACCCCTCCGTCGTCCATCCCTCAGCCAGTTGCTATACCGACTGAGCTATCCCGGCTCCTAATAATATTTGGTGAGTAGTAAAAACTATGAAGCTCCTAATTACGTAATTTATCTGGTCTCCATATACGTACTTACTTACTTATGGAGCTCAGCCCTTCTGGAGGAGAAGCCAATTCTGCAGCTACTCAAGAATTTCCTTTCATTTTATGGAACCCGAAGGTTCATTACCATGTTCACAAGAGCCCTCCACTGGTCCCTATTCTGAGCCATATCAATCCAATCCATACCCTCCCATCCTATCTCTCTAAGATCCATTTTAATATTGTTCACCCACCTACGTCTTGGTCTTCTTAGTGATCTCTTTCCTTCTAGCTTTCCCACCAATATCCTATATGCATTTTTCTTCTCCCCTATTCGTGCTACATACCCTGCCCACATCATCGTCCTTGACCATATCATTCTAATTATACTTGGAGAAGAGTACAAGTTGTGAAGGTCCTCATTATGCAGTTTTCTCCAACCTCCTGTCACTTCATCTCTCTTCGGTCCAAATATAACAGATACTGTAAAGTATGTACAGTGTTTGTATGCTTCCCTTATCAGCACTAAGACTGGCATGCAGACAGTCATAAGCACCATAATCATTACGTTTGCGTCCTTACAGAACTTTGGAGACACAAAGAAGAGAAACAGAACACTATATTGCTTGAAGTGTAGTCGGTAAGACGCTGGGAATAAGCCTGACCCGACGAAGTCGCCACAAAAGTATGACCCTAGACCGCCACATCATTACTCATCTCCAGTTGAATCTTCCTTCAACACCTCAATTGGATGTGTCACAGTCGGTAACACACACACACACACACGCACACCCTCACCATCAACTCTGTCTTCTTCCATGTGACAATGGTTAATCTTGTGGGCCTCGTATTTACATATATGGTATGGTTGGTGAGGCGCAACGCCCATCAAGTTCCACCGAAAAGAGAAGAAAATGTAAAGGAACGATTTTTCATGCTAGAAGATTAAAATTTATGGTCATATGTTTGTTAATTGCTGTAGCCATAGTAGTAGGAAGCTACTACGTTTTTATTTATAAATTGTGACCTGTATACCCATTGCTAGGCAACAGGTCTGTAAACACATTCCCACGAATCGTACATGTGTGATAATAACGCCTATTATTAGGCAACGGCGCAGTAAACATTCTTCGTCAATAATACAGGCATTATTTTCTGTGTGGTCCGTGCTGAGGTGTTATAAAAGGACATAAGGCAACAAGAGGAATACAGAACAGTAGAGAAGAGCCGAGTCTTCAGAATTGGCAGCGGCAGAACAGGAATTAGACTGTGCCAACAATACTTCATATGTCATTTAAAGCTACAGTGAAATTGTGATAAATCCGTTGCCAGGATACGACTAGTGAAGACTGAAAACACTAGTGCGTGTGTAACGGTGAACTGTATAGCGTGTAAATCAGTGATAGCGCTGTATTGCCTCTAGATCCGAACTGTGAATCTATAAGGTGCAATAAATCCAATCATCCAATTCAGAACACGTGACCCAACGCGTGACAATACGCATAAAATGACAATATTGTTTAGACTTGAGTATGATTAACTCCTTAAAATTGTATTCGGAAAGTGCTTGATTTGGAGATAGATTGGGACACGGGATATTCCGACGTGTTTCGTGGCTTCACTGAGTCTCTCAACGCACGTGATATTATATTACCTTGATTCAGTCACTGCCTCTTCCTTCAGACTCTCTTCCAATTCATAATTTCTCTTCCATTCTGTTATTTGACGACCTGTATTCCATGAGAGCGGAAGCTCCTCGGATAACGCAAGTTACATCAGTCTACACTTATTTATTTATTTAGTACTGGCACGAATATTTTATTTTATATTTCTTTCATATTTTATATTCCGCGCATTCACTATCATATTGCAACTAAAATGTACAAATACAAAACTTTGTATAGAGCCTGCTTAATTAATTAAATATATGGGACAATACATCAGTTATACATAGACTTCAAGAAAGCCTATCATTCAGTTATGAGGAAAGTATTGTACAACATTCTCATACAGTTTGGGGTACCCATGAAACTACTTACGCTGAATAAATTGTCTTTAAATGAAACTTATAGTAAAGTGGATAAGCAAACATTTGTCTGATAATTTTCTAATCCGAAATGGACTAAAACAAGGAGATGCTTTAACTCCAATGCTTTTTAAATTTGCTTTAGAATATTCCATTAGGAGGTCCAGAAAAAGAAAGTGGGAGTGAAATTAAATGAAACTCGTCAGATGTTGGTCTAGGCTGATGATGTGAATCTACTGGGTGATAATATAGATATCATCAAGAAAAACAAAGAGCTTTAATGGACGCTAGTAAGGAGTTTGGTCTAAAAATAAACGCAGAGGAATCTAAGTACATGTTGCTCTCACGTCACCGCAATGCGGGACAAAATCGTGAATGAACCTAAGAGAACCTTTCAAAATGTGACATATTCGAATATTTAAGAATGAGAGTAACAAATAAAAATTTTATTCGGGAGGAAATTAAGAGGAGGTTGAACTCGGGTAATGCTTGTTACCATTCAGTCCAGAACCTTTTGTCTTCTCGTCTGCTGTCTAAAGAGAAAAAAGTATATAATATGAAAATTATAAATTTTCCTGTGGTTCTGTATGGGTGTGAAACTTGGTCTCCAATATTAAGGGAGGGACATAGATTAAGGGTGATTGAGAACAGGGTGCTGAGGAGCATATTTGGAACGAAGAGAGATGAAGTGACAGGAGGTTGGAGAAAACTGAATAATGAGGAGCCTCATAAGTTGTAGTCATCTCCAAGAATAAGTAAAATGACCAAGTCTTGGAGGGTGATGGGCAGGGAATGTAGCAAGAATGTGGAAGAGATATGCATTTAGGATATTGATGGGAAATTCAGAAGAAAAGAGACTACTAGGAAGTCCAAGACATAGGTGGGTTGGTAATATTATAATGGATCTTAGAGAGATATTATGGGGTGGTATGGACTGGATTGATCTGGCTCAGGAATAAGGTAATGAACCTTTGGGTTTCATAAAATTTTGGGAAGTGCTCAATTTCATGAAGTTAGGTAATTAAAAGTAAATAAATAAATAAATAAATAAAGCTATCCCTGTACCAGGCCATGAAGGCCCATAGGGTTGTGAGATGTTGAGGGTCCCACATTATCTAGACAATCGACTCAAAGATGGCGATAAGGTTGTCAGCCGTACGCGCCGAACGCGCTTTACTCCCCAGGAAATTTATTTAATTATAATTCCTGGTACTAATTTCTGTTACCGGTCACGGTAGCCGAGCGGTCTAAGACATGCGCTGTCTTCGCTCGCTCGGAAGCCGGGATCGTGGGTTCGAATCCCACTCAGGGCATGGATATTTGTGTGCGTTTTTCTGTGTTTGTGTACAGGTAGAGGCCTTGCGACGAGCTGATCACTCGCCCAAGGAGTCCTACCGTACGTGTAAGATCTAGAAAAACCGAAGTGAACGGAGTTCATGGAGGTAGGCCTAGGCCCACTTGGGCTGTAGTGCCAAGGAAACAAAAAACTAATTTCTGTTAGAGGCTGTGTGAACCCCAGGGCCATAGTGCGGCTGGAAGGACTAGGTCAATTGAAAGAAATCCATTGACCTCATCGGGACTTGAACCCGCGACCTTCCGGTTTGTAGCATAGCGCCTCAACCAACTACGCTACAGCTATAGGCATATGAATACTTTATTAGTTACTTAAAGTTACTGTACAGGCCCATTTCTCTAAGGTAAGAAGGAGATGTCGATGTTAGAAGATCAGAAAGGAGTCGGATCGAGTGAAGAGGTGTAACTGTTCCTGTTATAGAGTGAGGTGAGGTGAGTTGTCAGTTTTACTCCCGGGGAAAGACTCATCGGATACGAGGTTGGGTGGGCCCCAGATTCCGTGTGGACTTCATGGAATAGAGAAAATTTTTTTGCCCTTGCTGGGGATCGAATTTTAAACTCGAGCGCAGCGGCTTAATTCTGCCTCGTTTCCTTCATGAACGCACCTCAATTAGTCTTTGCCCCCAGTGAATAATCCCCAGTACCTGTACTGAGGATGTTAAGACCAGGAAACTCCGGAGAATATTTGGAGTTAAGAGGGAGGAAGTAACATAATGAGAAGCTGCATAATTTGTAGTCATCAGCTATGGGGGTAATTAAATGAGGTATAGTATGAGCTTGTAGTAAGCATGATTGACACATATAACACTTTAGTCGGAAAACCTGAATGAAAGAGACCATTTTGGAGATAGAGGGGTAGATTGAAGAATATTATTAAAATGGATTTTAAAGTAATAGAATGTGAGGATGTGGACCAGACGCAGGGTCCAGTGGTAGAATCTTGTAAACACGTTAATGGGTCTTCAGATTTCATAAAATTCGGGGAATTTCTTGACGAGTTTGAACGACTGTCAACTTCTCCAAAAGGATTCTGCTCTACGGGGGTTATTATTCATTATCCGTATGTAAAGTAGAGGTAAAGGAATACTGTTTCTTTTAACGTAATATTAGATTTCATTTCTAAAGCGCTACTCTGGTCAGTTAAATAATCCCCTTTGTTATTTACTATGGTTCCAGCGCGATGCCTCTTCAGTGCGCAGGTCTCAGGACAGATGACTGCCGTGGCTTGCTGCCCTGCTATGACCGGCTCGATGTGTTTTCCTTCCCGCCAACTGAAACCACGGGTCCCGCTCCACACAGTTCCTGCACTGCATTCGCTACGTGGCTACGTGTCCGTAAGTCTGCCCACACCCTGGCGATTTTTTTATCTAATTCATATTTAGGCAAATGCCCATATCCTTCGATATATATATAAAATATTGTGTAAGGATGAAATTTATCAGTTTCCGGTTACTATATTGTGACGCATCTAAGGCATGAACTGTCTTCACTCGCTCGGAAGCTGGGATCGTAGGTTCGAATCCCACTCAGGGCATGGACGTTTGGTGTGTGTATTCATTTATTCTGTGCGTGTGTGTGTGTGTTGTCCTGTGTTTAGGGAGCGGCCTTGCGAAGGACTGATCAGTAGTCCAAGGCGTCCTACAGTCTGTGAAAACTGATTATAGAACTGAATAAGAGGCCTGGGCCGTGAATGGGCTTTAAGAGCCATTGAAAAAAAAATATTGTGACGCATAGACGTATTACTAGGCAACATCCGCAAAACACACGCGGTCAACAATACAGGAGAGGTGTTTTCTGTGGTCATCCCAATTATATAAGTTTAATCGTATTCTGAAGAGGAACGCTGCAGGTTCTTCCGAAACATCGTTACTTATTAACCACACTATATGGCGGCACATCTCCGAAACTACAATCTTAATGTCCACGGCCAAATATAGTCAAATCTGATACGTCTCTATCATATATGTTCCTCCGAAACGTCAGTTGCTTTTAACTAACTACACGGCGTTATATCGCAGAACATAAAACTGCCCATATCTACCGCTGTGAGAACCTCAAATTCTGTAAGCCCATGTTTGATCACAAACTGTCATACCACGCAACGTCAGAGGACACGAGCAATTCCAGAAGATTCCTAAGACCCAGAAAGAGTTCTTACATGAATATGAAACTACTTTACCGGTCTCGTAATGGAGGCGCGTTTGAAATAATAGGTACTTAAGGAGAAAGCAGTACACACACAGCTAAAGATAAAAAACTGGAGATGTTCCATTGTTTACAAATGATAATATCCCTAAGATAACAAATAACATACAAGAGTCGTAGGGTGTATCAATAGCTAACCAGAAAAGTAGACTTCAAGAGAGTAAATAAAACCTGTTGTATCATACACAGGGCGGTGATTACAGGAAAATTTTATTGGCCATTTGAGAAAACTATAGAACGGTATATAATAGGCTATAATACGTAAGGGAGAAGGTTTAAAACACAAGCAGAGAAGATGTTTATCGACACAGGAAGTGGGTCTGTTGCTTGTTCCCGGTTGGCTGACCACCACTTCTCTGCGACATGGCACCCTGCAAAAGATAGCTTGCTCCTGACAATCTAAGTAAGAAATAAATAAAGTCGAAGTACACCATTGCGTCAAGTACCATGAAATAAATCCATATAGGAAAAATGGAGGTAAAGTTCCACGAATTCTGCAGTTTAGTATTAGATGGAGCCCGGTGATCAGGCTTAGACTGCGACATATTTAACCCCGGGCGAAGTTTCCTCAGTATAGACAGGAAGAATATTGTCGTAAAATACCACTGGACATATCAAGAGGAATTGATTGCAAGCGTTAACTCAGCACGTGGTAAGAGGTTAAGCAGTTAATACTAAATTTGTTTCAAGTAATACGTGCAAATTCAGTTCGTACATCACAGGAAACACGTTAGGTCTCCACTACAAACACCAACTGGTTATTGCTGTATAGGGAAACAGTCACTGTTTATTGTGAGAAACATAAAAAAAAACTGCGTGGTTTTAGTCCGCAAGCGAACTATACCGACCGAGCGACCGCCACTTGTCGGCGAAGTTGGTGCCAGCTTTAGCTGATAGAGAGTGTCACGCGGCTAGCGCAACCAATCCACACGGCTGTTAATTTCGGTTTTCTAGACCGGGCGAGAAACATACGGAATACACGCATACACTCTGTGAACAGAATGTAGAATAAAAATGTTAAAACAGTTGCATATATTGACCACTGAGTTTTAACGCTCTAAATTTATTCCGAATCCCCGAGGTTTCTTCATCATATTTAATTTCCTATTCATTCCTTTTCATATTGACGTATTAGCTTATATGGATAAGTGGCTTCTATCTTGGGCATACTGTGTTGAGTGGTCGCGCAACCCGAAAATACTACCGTGAAGCTAAGCTCGCTCGTGTTGCAGATTCGAACAGTACATGAGAAGACACGTTACAAACAGGTAAAGAAAAGGTAAAGTTATCCCTGTAACAGGCCCTGGAGGCCCGTAGGGTTGAGAGACGTCGAGGCTCCCATATTTTCTTTAGACAGTTGCCGCACAGATGGCGGTAAGATTGTCAGACTTACGCGCCTGCCACCCTTTACCCCCCAGGAAGATTTCTGGTACTAATGTCTGTTAGAGGCTGTGTCGACCCCAGGGCCATAGTACGACTGGAAGGATTAGGTACATTGTAAAAATTCACCTCATCGGGACTCGAACCCGCGACCTTCCGGCTAGTAGCGTAGTGTCTCAACCAACTGCGCTATCACGTGCCCCCCTGCGTAAACAACATAATAGTATTATGTTTTTATTGCTAGTGGGGTGGGACTAAATCCCTTGTACTGCGGCCACTTCTGGCCTATTGTACCGGCCCCAGATGATAGGTGAGGGTGATTGTGGAGCAATTGGTGGAATGAAGATTGGCAGGGGAAACCGAAGTACTCGGAGAAA